AGAATTATTCAAAAATGTGCTGTTATTGCTGACATCTTAGGCAACAAAGAAGTGTGTGTTTACGCTTTATTATGATAGTATAGATTGATACGGCTACATATTTTCGAAGAATGCTATACTCGTAAAATTAAAAGATCAACAATATTAGTAACCGATTTTAACAAATGATATTGTTTAAATATTAAAAAGAACCTTGAAGTTGCTATTGTTGCCTATTTCTAAACAGATTATATATGTTTTTAGTGAAAACTGATCAAACAATTAATTCAAATATAGTGAGGTTCATTCACACAATGAAACAACAAATAAGTTTTTATCATTGCTTTAAAATATTATTTAAGTCATCACCAGTTTTAAGTTTATAGTTAATATATATTTTGATATCAAGGTATTCTAGTATTCAAATACTATCGTTGGTCTAATATACACTGCTAAAATATTGCATTCGCCATCTTGTAGCCGCCATCTTGGATTTAAATTATATCGTATATTGCAATCAAAACTAATTGTTTCAGTGCTACTTTCCTGTACTTAGATGTAAATTTGATGTTGAACATCACTAGTCAAATTAAATTTAAACAGGTGTGAAGTGACTCCGTCTTTCTTCCTTAACTCATTATAAACATTGTACTCAGAAATCTATTGAGTTTAGAAGTGAACTAACGTGACAAAATTAAAACAAGGTTAGAATGATATACATAAAAAACGAAGAATTACAAATGACAAGGAGAATAATTTGTAAATTAGATGTTAGTATCAATTTGTTAACAAATTTAAAAGCTTATTCCGTTATTCTTTTTAGCTACAAAATGACAGTTGTTAATCTTTGTCTTGTTGCAATGCTGGGAATCATGAACATAGAGCAAGCGTATGCGCAGCTACTTACTAGTGAGTAACTTCTTATTTTATGATTTTTTTTAAACTATCTTTTGTTTTTAAAATCACTTAAAAATATTAACGATTGATAACGTATAGAAACAAAACAAAACTAACCTTGATATTTATATATTTTCAGACTTAAATAACAACAAATTAATCAAAGATTTCTTAAACAACTTTCCGGAAGCTACTGTTGAAAACAACGAAAATGTACTGAATATAACGAATATAGATTATTTGTTTCCCGCTACTGGGTAAGTACATTATTACTGAAATGGAATCACTGTTGGTATACGTCTGTGATATTATAATATTTAAAGGGATAACTAGTTTATGATAAACAGTTTATAAACGCATATTTTACTCTTTGATCGCCACTGATTGATATTACTGACGTCATCGCGCGTAAGTGTTTCCTGATAAACATGTTACACACGGTATAAGTATGGTCAAACATTTACATTAAAAACATATTATCATTCGTTATATTCTCTTTAAAGAAACTGGTACTTTCGTACACTTGTTTAATTTTTTATGACTGTGGAAGGGTACACAGGTAGAGGTAGACCTAGAAAGAGATGGATAGATTGCGTAAAAATGGAGTGATGACTGAGATGACGTATGGTAGAGCTATGTGGAGGACAAAAACCTATTGCGCCGACCCTAAGGGAGTAGGATACGGAGGAAGATGATGTGATGTTTAATTTATCCATGTTTTGCAGTTTGTTAGTAACTTCTCTGTTCCCGAATGATATCCTCAGTGTGCAATCGAGCACTATAGAAATCGCGGGCAAAAGTTTCATTGGTGGTTCAATGGAGATTACTGTCAGACAAAACCGTACAGCAGTGAGGTTTGGTAAGTAGAAAAATATGATTACTACGTTTGCTATAATTAATACAAAATAACCATCACTATGTAACATTCTTGTTTTTCGTCAGGTCCTAATAAACGTAACAATAATACTATAACCGGTCGTATCGGTAGTTTTAGTGCAAATGAAAGGTAAATATGGAATTTTGTTGATTTTATTCAAGTACTTAATTATTAATTGTCCCTTACCATTTCACCAGTCGAGTTAGACATTCGTGTAACAACTAATACCATTGCCGGCTCTATTACTGTCAATTTTTTTATATAAAAATATAAATCAAAGGCCTCAGTAGAAATTGGGTAACTTCATACTCATCATCACCAGCTCACTAAACGTCCCTACCGAGGGTCTCGCTGCCTACCCTAGGTAAGGGGTTCATAGTAAACCACCTTGGCCCAGTGTGGGATGGTTCAGTTCACACATATCTTTGAATTTCTTCGCCGATATGTGCAGGTTGCATCACGATGTTTTCCTTCATCGTAAGAACGTCGGGTAAATTATGTACATATCAAAATTGGAAAAATAGTAAATCACTTTGGTACAAAGCGGGATTCGAACCCAAGACCTGTAAATCAAGTGTTTAAACCACTCAGCCACCGACGCTCTTGGGTAACTTAGTTTTATTTAACTTTGAAATTCAAGAATCACTTTCAACGCAATTGACTTGGTTGCTAACCTCACACTGGGACCCACTGGCTACACCGTTGACGACATGAGGATCCTGTTCCTGCCTGTCGACAACGACGTAAGTAGTACTCACGAAATTGGACATAAACATATTAATAAATTGATTTTTTAATGAATATGAGAACAACGGAAATATGTTCTAAATATATACAATTATAATAAAGCGTAAACAAAGACTTCTTTGTTGCCTAAGATGTTAAAAAAAAATTACAGCATATTTTTGAATAACTTCTTTTTTAATTAAAAGCCCTATTCTTACGTCACGCTTTAGGCTATATATTTTCACGCCATTAAACTTAGGGGGTAAATATTTTGGATAAAAACCCTAATGCGGAAAAGAGACCATAAGTTACTGCCAACATCAAGGAAACAAGATTGCCATAGTTTGTCATCATGTCATGTCATTTGACATTTGCAATTGTTTGACAAATGTGAACGATAAAATGATTTTTTTATAATTCTATGCGGATGAAGTCGCATGGGAACAGCTAGTATATTCTAAGTTGTATGTGTCAATGTTAGAATGTTTTATTAATCTCATTCGCTTAATATAATCTAGTTAAACGCATTATTCATGTTTATTGTTGTATTTTTAAAAGTACTTTTTCAGTATTTAGCTTTATCTTTTATCTTGTTTAGATTTACTTATTTGTTATTGAGTTTCTTTTAAAAAGTAAACAGTTTGCTTAATTTAAATTTATTTATTCCAAGTATATATTTTAATGCATGTTTTTATTTATGTAGCTTTCATATAACATAACTGCGAGCGACCGAGATTCAGGAGACCGCATAAAAAACTGGCTCAGCAACAAACTTCCTGTTGTGGTAGACACATATGAGGTAAGAGGTAAAAATTACTGTCTATAAGTCAACAGCATATACATCATATATAACAACGGCATAGGCTAACATTATCAACAACAGCCTTTATTTGTCAACTGTTACACTTGGACCTTCTTTCATACCACAAAATGCGGTCTTCCGCCATCCAGATACAATAACTTCCCGGTATGTACTGTGCAGTAGCGACATAATTGGCCTGCCAATTTATAAATAGTCAGCTTATTCTATTGACTCAAAAACTCGCCATTTCATGGCAAATTGACTACTTCTCATGGCAAATTACAAATTGGTGGCTTGTACAATAAGCCGATAACATTTGTAAACTAACTTTGTTGTATTTTTGTTTCAGGCGTCCGTAGATCAGCTTACTAACGCCGGCGTTTTAACACTCAACGATAGTTTATTGTAAATCATATAATCCATTAAAATTACGCCTTGGCAACATGTCGTTACATTCTTACAATTCCGTTAGACTCTATCTTAGCTTACTACGTGCAAATACAATGGTAATTAATGCAGTTAAAAAGTAAATTGTGTTTCCAAGTATTAAAGAGTTACCAGCAATTAAAAATATGTTTTAGTACCCATCTAAATAGAGATAACTTCAAACAACTTTGTTGTAAGGGAATAAAACAAATTATTTTAAAAGCCACGGAAGATCAGCACATTTGCTGAGTGGTTATCACCAATAAATAAATAAATAAACAACATGCTAACATCAAGTATGTCCCCATTTATTTTCACTAGGATCTTAGCGAAGGTAAATTTAATTCCTTAAAATGCTTTCGAGTCTTAATGCTCTTGAAGAGTAGTCGCTTTCTATTCTAAACAACTCGTTTTCTTTAAGTAACAATGGACATACTATAACTAAAGAAGAATTGAGAACTTCAAAGTAAATTTTTATTGAAATAATCGAATGTAATAAAATATCGCTGAAATTCTCATTTATAGTAACTAGACTGTAATCGAGTTTAAGCAATACTAAAAAAACGGCACCAAGAGCTAAATAATTACTAAATTTCATTTTTTAAATATGTGACTATTTTATTTCCAATATTTTTGTAAAATATTCAGAACTTCCTCGCTGTAAAGTATAATAATAATGCAAAAGTGCTATAATACATCTAAAATATAATATTGTAAAAGTTTAGATGGATGTATAGATGTTTGTAGGAGTTTGTAGCCTAAACGGCTAAACGGATCTCGATGAAATTTGGCATAGACATAGAGGACACTCTGGAAGAACATGTAGACTACTCACTTTTGTTTGACCGACTTCCCAAAAGAAGGAGGTACTCAATTCGTCTGTATGTTTTTTTTAAATTCCATGTGCGAATTCGAAAGGTAGTCTAAAATACAATCTAAAACCTACTTTTCGACAATATAATGTTGACAACATGTAAATCAATGTATTGAAAGGAAAGTATGTATTCGCTAAATCAATGCAGCAATTACGCAATTACGCCTTGATTTAAATGAGTTAGAGGACCTGAGAGTGGTACAAGGCAACATATTATTACAGTTAATTAGGGCTCCAACAATCGGATTAATTATATTGAAGCTACACTTTACCTCAGGATCAAAAGCTTACACTTAATTGATGCCACTTCCATACTCTTCATATCTGAAATTAAATAGTTTGAACACACTTAAAAATAGGCAAAAGCAAACAAGCGTAATCGTTTTGACACCATCACTAAATTATTTCTTTAACTATTCTCCAAAGTAAAAAGTAACGATGCATGTTAATAATCTTAGTAATAGTAAAAATGCGCAAGTTTGGATGGATGGATGGATGTTTATTAGAGTTTGTAGCCTAAACTGCTCAACGGATTTCGACGACGTTTGGCATACATTTGAGATAGTGTAGAACAACACGTAGGCTACATTTTTTATTTAGGGGATTAATTTAATGGATGTCTGTTAGAGTTTGTAGCCTAAACTGCTGAACGGATCTCGATGAAATTTGGTATAGATGTAGAGGATAGTCTGGAAGAACACAAACGCTAATTATTTTTGTTTTATTCAATTCCAAGCGGACGGAGTCGCGGGTGAAAGTTAGTATTGTAATACATTGAAAGGAACCTTGAAGTTGCCATTGTTGCCTATTTATAAACTGCTAATATTTGTTTTTATGAAAACTGTTCAAACAATATTTTCAAATGAAAAATGTAGTGATGTTTCGCCAGAATTAAATAATCAGTTTTGATTATTAAATTAAATGTTATTTTATCCTACTATTGGTATTGTAATATTCAAATCTTAGTGGTCCATTTTCATCATCACCAGCTCACTTTACGTCCCCACTGAGGGGCTCGGAGCCTACCCTAAGGGTGACTAGACCATAGTTAAACACGCTGGCCAAGTGTGGGTTGGTCGACTTCACACATATCTTTGAATTTCTTCGCCGATATGTGCAGGTTGCATCACAATGTTTTCCTTCACCGTAAGAACGTCTGGTAAATTATGTACATATGAAAGTTCGAAAAATCTGAAATCACATTGGTACATAGCGGGATTCGAACCCAAGACGTGTAGATTACAAGTCAAGTGCTTAAACCACTGAGCCAATGTTCTCATGGTCCATTTTACCCTGATAGAATTTTCTAAAAAAATTGTATTCGCCATTTTGTAGCCGCCATCTTGGATTTAAAATAATATCTGTCATCGAAATTGTAATTGTTACAGTTTTGGTGCTTTATACAAATTAAATTTTAATTTTATGCAAATTTTAAGTTGTGCATCTCTAGTTATATTGAATTTGAACAGGTGTGAAGTGAGTCCATGTCTCTTCCTTACTTCATTGTCAAAATTATGCTCAGAATTCTATTGGATTCGAAAGCAGAATAACGTGACAATTTCTTCGAATTCCTGAAGTAAGTACAGTCTTATTTAATTTTTTACTTCATGTCAGGTTGTTAATTTTATATTACTATCTAAACATAGGTAAGTATAACTATATTTAAAATTTGTTAACATAAATTTTCTATTAATTTTCTATTTTTAAAACTAATATGGAATTACAAAAGTCCAAATCTGATCCACACGATTGGATTTGGACAATTAAATGAGAATTTGGACATGAAATGTATACGAAAAAGACTAAAGGACATTTATAAAAGAAAGTTTCTAAAAGGAATATCTTCTCAAGATCAAGTATGAGTTAATTTGAAAGAAGCAGGAATAATAAAAAATAGAAGTAAAAGTTAGAATGATTTGGGCATAAAGACCGTAGAATTGCATATGACAAGAAGAATAATACACCTTCCATTTTATTGTCAATTCCTTAACAAATTGAAAGAAGCTTATTTCGTTATTCTTTTTAGCTACAAAATGACGATTGTTAATGTTTGTCTTGTTGTGATGCTGGGCATCATAAATATGCAATATAGCCATGCGCAGTTACTTACTGGTGAGATGTTACTGTCTTTTTATTCTATCAATTGTACAATCTTTATTTGGCACTGCTTTGAAGTGTATTACCAGCTAGTTTTTGCCCGCGACTCCGTGCGCGTGAAATATAAAAATAATAATAAATAAATGAAAACATTGCCTTTGTTAGTCACAGATAAATTACCTTTCTAACAGTCAGAGAATTTTTAAAATCGGCCCAGTTTTTTAGTCTATTCATTACAAACAAGGTTTTCCTCTTTATAATATTAATTTATATATTGAGGTTCATTATAATATTATAAAATATAAACACAAATCAACACCAATCTTGACATTTTCAGATTTAAATAATAACAAATTAATCAAAGATTTCTTAAATTACTTTCCCAATGCTACTGTTCAACGGAACGTTGAAAATGTGTTAGATACCACAAATATAAATTATTTATTTCCCGCTACTGGGTAAGTAGTAAGTACATTGTTATTAAAACAGTAAGTTCATAGTATTCTCTGTAAACTTATTATTTTCAATTTACATTGTGTTATCCCAAAGAAACTAAGAGCCCACAGCTGTAACTAAACGTTCGCACAATTTAGTCCCGCTTTGATTCCTATGGGCTTACATGGAGATGCGCACTACTCGATTTTTAGTTGTGTAATAAACAGTTGAATTGGCTGCGAAACAATCGACAGTCGCATAACACTTGTACGATAGTTTACTTTGAGGTGTACGCTAGAGTGTTTAGAAATAATTAAATTGTTCGGTGAGCAAAGAGTTACATTCTAGCTATTTCACTATGTCACAATAACAAATGTCAAAATAACATGACATGACAAACCTTAGCCTTAGCACTCTTGCTTTCTTGAAGTCGGCAGCAACTTATGGACTCTTTACCACATTAGGGTTTTTATCAAAAATATTTACCCGCTAAGTCGTGAAAATATATAGCCTAAAGCGTGACGTAAGTGTAGGGCTTTTTATTAAATAAGGAATTATTCAAAAATATGCTGCAATTGCTGACATCTTAGGCAACAAAGAAGTGTGTGTTTACGCTTTATTATAATAGTATAGATTAGGTAACAATTTTGAAAGTATTTTTTCACTGATGACATACTATTTCTACGTTAATAAAACACTAATATAAAAACGTTCGGATTTCCAGCTTGTTAGTGAATTTTACGACGCCGGATCAACTTTTGGGTTTATCATTTAATAATTTAGAGATCGCAGGCAAAAGCTTCATTGGTGGTACAATGGAAATAACTATCACATCAAGGGGCACAGTGGCACGTTTGAGTAAGAAATGAATCAAATTTTAATTAAATTTAATCTAATTAAGTTAACCATTACTTATTTGTTGTATTTCTTTAGATGTTCCCAATAATCGAACTATAACTGGTCGTATCAGTAGTATTGGTGTGTCCGAAAGGTAAGCATTTTTGTTAATTTTATTTCCCACTGTATGAGTTTTATATGATTTGTTCAAATTAATTGCAAACTCAATCGTAGGTAGCGTTTGTTTGGAATGTTTTCTTTAAAAGTTATTCTCAAATTAATAAAATAAAATGTGTGTGTTAGTTGTTTCTGTTACAGTCCGTAGCATTTGAATGTGTAGGCTACTTGATCGTTGCATTACCACGACACCTAGGACATTCGCGAGTGACCTATTTTAGTATGTTTCTTCTTTCCATCATCATCATGTCCCCTGCCTTATCCTACTCTCGTAGGGTCGGCGCACCGGGTTTTCGTCCTCCAAAGCATTCTATCATCCGTCATCTCAGTCATCACTCCCTTCTTGATCATGTCACCTTTCACGCAATCCATTCATCTCTTTCTAGGTCTACCTCTACCGATGTACCCCTCCACATTCATAACTAACATCCTTCTTGTTACATGCGATTCATCCCTTCTCATAACATGCCCATACCACTCTAACCTTTTACTCCTTATTTTCTCAACCGGGGCTACTCTCAAACTTCCTCTAATATACTCATTTCGTATCTTATCCAATCGTGTTAGCCCACACATCCATCTTAACATTCGCATTTCCGCCACATGTCTTCTCCTTTCATCCGTCGCTTTTACTGCCCAACATTCAATCCATACATCATGACAGGTCTTACGACGATTTTGTAAATTTTCCCTTTATTTTAAGGGGAATATGCGGGTCGCATATTACACCTGTAACCTGTCGCCATTTCATCCATCCCGCTTTTATTCTATTGTTCTTTTATTTTATTTTATTTTATTATGTTTCTCCTTTCCATCCTTATAAGGAAAAGACGGGAAGGTGAAGTTCATTTTGAAAGTGTACATAAAGGGGATATAGGGGATTAAAAAAAGTAAATATAAAACAGTAGATATATAGCTGTAACGACATATCAGCAGAGAACAAGTTAAATATTGTACACTACCTATATTGGATGAGTATCGAATTTTCACAATCGCAGTACAGTTAAACTGTCATGCGACAAAATTGTAACAACTCATTATTACATACTATTTTAGCATTGAACGTTTATGTCTCTTATACAACTTTGTTAAACATTTTAACGACTAGACTAACGCAACAAAAGCAATGACAGGCATCAAACACCAATATCTCGCTAGACATGACTTTAAACACCGCGTTTCAATCTTTGGTGTGCACCCGGCGAGCTAGTCTTTCCTGTAGCACCTGTTGCGGGCTCTACCAATGTTACATTTAAAACAAATAAGTACATTTTAGTTATCAAATTTATTATACTTGTTTTTCTTAACTTATATTGAAGATTAGCTATCAACGCAATTAACTTAATCGCCAACGTCAGCGTGGCTTCCACTGGATACACACTTGACAACATGAGGATCTTGTTCGTGCCCACCGATGACGATGTATTTATTACCATTATTATCTACCTTTGATACCTATACCATTTTTACATTATTATCTATCTTCAGTGGTAGAGCCCGCTTTAACATCTTCGCTCGAATAGGCCGGTTCGCCTGGTGTAATACCACGACCACACAGAAAACAGGCGTGAAATGGTGTTGAAGGCCTGATTTTGGTCCCCTTCCCTTTCCATCTTTTTCTTAAGAGGTAAGAATGGAAGGAAAAGTAGATAAGACGGTGGAGGAGACGCGTAGGAGGAGGAAATGTCCTCTTTATGTGCGTCTCCTCCGTAAATCGAGGGTAGGCAACGCATTTGCAATTGCGGATGATTATGGGCAGCGGTTGCTTTCCATATCGTTGGATTCGGGTAGCCACTTGTTCTTTTGCCATCTTATATTATAAAAAATACCTGATTTTGGCACTATTTCGAAAGTTCTAATATTCATAGGTATGTTTGAGTAAAACTTTATTAGTAACGTTTTGTTTACCTGTAACTTTACGTTACTTTTATAGCTATGTTTTAAAAACCGTTACATAACGTATTTAAAAATAGGTATTAAAATATATTGAAAGAAATTATATTCTTTTAAGTAATCTTTTTATTTGAACAGCTTCCATATACCATAAATGCGAGCGAACGTGCTTTAGGAGACAGTATAAAAAACTGGCTTACCAACAACGTACCAGTTGTGGTCGACAAATACAAGGTAAGCGATAGTTCGGTGCGGTCTCTGGCATATTGTATATGCCAAACATGTGTAATATTCCCCAGAAAATTACAAACAGTCGACTTATTGTTCCTCTGGTGTTGCGGATGTCTATGGGCGTCATGACCACCTCTGTTTTCCCGCAGCTCGTTTGCCCCCTTCTATTATAAAAAAAAATTCAAGTACTCGGCACACTCCGATCATTTTAGCAGACATTCATTGTTACTTACGGTGATTGACACGGCAAATTACAAACAGGTTGCTTGTATAATATCCCGATGACATTTGTAAACTAATTTTGTTGTAAATTTGTTTCAGGCGTACATAGATCAGGTCACTAATGCAGGCGTTTTTATTCTCAACGACAGTTTATTGTAAATTACATAATCCAATAAACAGTGCTTTCGAAACGTGGCACTACATTGATACGATCTTGTGTGACGTCATCATTTTACCCCCTGCTTACCGTGTGCATTTATAATACTAATTCGTTCTGTTTAGGAAATAAAATGTGTATTTGACCAAAATAAAGACCTATTAACATTAATTGAAAGGTGTTTCAATACCCAATAGAATACAAATAATACTTTCTTTGTAAAACATAATGTTAATACCACGTTGTAATTGTTATCTATAACCAATTACTTTGTTGAGGATCTTCACGACGGTAAAAACATTTTTACAAATCTCTTCCAAGGCCATTAAAAGGTCTTGAAAAGTCATTTTCTTTACCAATATCAGTATTTGCATGTCGAAAAACTATATTAAAAAAATGAATGAAATAAATGAGATGTTCAAAGTTGAAAAACCAAATCAAAAATGTGCATAAAAATAAACTAAATCGTGGTAGTAAATATGTTATAAAAAAAATAGAATTGAAAGAACAATCTATTGAATATACGTATGTTGGTATTTTATTCCAATGTTTGCGTTGAATATCCAGAACTTCTTTGTAAAATAAACATTTCGAAATCCGTATCTGAAGTATTAAAATACTCTCTATTTTTATCATTTTTATTAAAAGAATTTGATTTCAACGGTTTTCTGTTAACCCTATTAACACTTTAGGAATATTTTGTAACCAATGTATTTGTTCTCAAATATTTGAAATTCTCTTTAAAAACTTAAAGTGGGTTTCAGAAGAATTAGAAAGTCAAGAAAGAGGTTTTGGATTAAACTTGGAATAGGTGTTAGCATTAACCTGAATTAGCCATAACAGCGAAACGACTGCTGCGCGTAGACATCTGAAAAAGAAGATACATTACCTACCTTTACTCGACGGAGAAGGGGGACGCATAGAAAGATGAGATTTTGCCTTCATTTAAAAAAAAAATAGAATCGTCTTATGCGCTTAAATAATTCATTGTTTTGTATTTCACTTCTGACTTATCTAGATCTAATCAATGAAAATTATAGTGAACTAGCTTTCGCCTACGACTCCGTTCGCGGGGATTAAAAAAAAGTAGCCTATGTGTTCTTCCAGACTATCCTCAAAATCTATGCATAATTTCATCCAGATCTGTTCCGCTGTTTAGGCTATAAACTCTAATAAACATCCATCCATCTAAACTCTCGCATTTATAATATTAGTAAGATTAGATATTCGTCAAATCAAAGCAGCATTTAAGTAATTACAACTTAATTAAAATAAATTACTAAGACCGCAGACACAAAGGAACACATTTAATAAGGGTGCCAACATTCAGATTGAAATTGAAGTTCCACTATTGCCTTAGATTAAAGCTTAAAGTAACTCTGTACTTAGTACTAAAATGTTCAATTAAAATAATTGTTTAGTTTTTATAAAAAAAGTACAAAAACATCGCTTCTAAAGATTTCATTTTAGGATTCGAGGAAATACCAGATTTAAAAGTATTAACGCTCTCAATGGGTCACTAACAGGCTTACGTCGGATCTAAAACGCTTAGTTTTATTAAAGTTTCCCATTGGAATTACACAGTTCGGTACGCAGATAACTGTAATCCCTTCAATTAATATTCATTTCGTTAATAACATATTCATTTACGCCCAGTGATAAAACAAAACAGAACATCTAGAAAATGACTTACTTTATTTTATAACTGGCTTTCGCCTGACACTCCATCCGCCGTGGAATAAAAAAAAAGTGAGTAGCCTATGTGTTCTACTAGACTATCCTCACATATGCCAAATTTCATCAAGATCCGTTTAGACGTTTAGGCTACAAACTCTAACAAACATCCTTCCATCTATCTTAACTTTCGCATTTATAACCTTAGTAAGATTGTGTTTTACACAATGCAGAGTAACTCGACTGTATCTAGGTATAACTTATAAAAAAAACTATTAACTAAAATATGTCTCGATAATAATTATTACAGTCTACTACTACTAAGAATCTAGAGCGAACTTAAAAACAAGAAATCAAATTTTAACTACTATATACTATACAAATATAGTAGTCGATATTCTAATTATGTTATCTAAGTCTACGTACCGTTGTTAGTCTTCGAGAGCAAAGGGCAATAGCTAAAAGCTATTCTATCAGTTTCGAGCGCAGTGAAACGAAGGACAAACGGTGACGTCACAGACCTTTGACTTCGCAGAACAAACGATCAAACGCTTTGCAAGATTGTGACAAACAAAAGAAACACGATTTCATTACCTTTTATTTATCTTTCCTTTACGATGCAGTTTAAATATCTGTTGATATTAAAATCAGGTGAGATTGTTAATTTACACATGAATTTGAATTTTTATTATTAGATACTTCAGAACTATTTGGTTTCAAAACACATACCGTCGAAAAAATAAAGAAAGAAATGTGTCGAGTAAAATACGTTTCCTTAATTTTTATTCTTTTATGTCACGTACGAAAGTGTCTTTATTTCTTTTATCTATAACTTTTTTACCCGTTTTCAGTTTTGATTGATTTAATATACAAGAGTATGTCACTCTTAACGTATGTACATTTCATACCAGTTATTTACTATTCACGTCACTTGCTTCGACTTTTTTGTTAGTTTAGGAAAAAATCAAATTCTTTTTTTGATAGAACATGAGATAAATTACAATTGTAATAAAAACAATAATAAGATAATTACAATATACAATTGCAATTGCAGAAGCCCTTGCTTATATAACATCGATTAGTTCTGACAAATTTGTTATTATTATTAGACAACTTATTTAATTGATAATGTCGCTTTTAAGTCAGAGCAATACTTCTCGTCAAGACTTAGGATGCGCGCCAAATCTATCCATATTTCTAGTGACATTGACAGCTGTCAGCTAGGGACGTGACGTTTATGCCGATAATCTAGAGTTGCGCCAATTCTATAGCACGGTACTAATTTTATACCTAACATTATGACGGATTCTAAAAGTTCGCTACAACATTTAAATGAAATAAGAGAGAATTCTAAAAGGTTTTGAGTTTAACTTTTATTGCATAATCTTGAAATTTGAAAACACTGTATTGTGTAAGAAATGTAAAATTAGGTTAAAATTATAAGGGCATCTTGTTGAACGTAATTACGGCATTTAATCTTCTACAACGACAATCGGCAATGTTAAGAACGATGTAATCTCTTGTTAATTGTGTCGTTGTAGGAATTTCCAGGAAACATTAACCTACCTACAACCACTTAATGTATAACGACCTATTGACGACAACGATTTACCTAATATTTTTGTAACCAATGTATTTTATTGTTTATGATTTAATAAAAAAGGTAAAGGAAAATGGACTTAATATATCATGGAATGGTACTATAGAGAGGGAAATAGACAAAGAGGACGACAAATAAGATGGGAAGGTGACCTACCGAAAGGATGGAGAAGATTAGCGCGCGGTAGACGTGGAAGAAACTAGGGGAGGCCTATGTCGTAGGACAACCAGACATGCAACTGAAAAAAAAAAACATACTTTAGTTTTAATATTTACTAGCTGTTACCATGCGACTTCATACGCATTAAATTATTAAAATTTCATTTTATTGTTCACATTTGTCAAATTATCAATTGCAAATGTCAAAATGACATGACATGATTTCAAACCATATCAACCTTGCTTCCTTGATGTTGGCAACAACTTTTGGTCTCTTTTCCACATTAGGGTTTTTATCCAAAATATATACCCCTTAGTTTAACGGCGTGAAAATATATAGCCTAAAGCGTGACGTAAGTGTAGGGCTTTTTATTAAAAAAGGGTTATTCGAAAAAATACTGTGATTGCTGACATCTTAGGCAACAAAGAAGTATGTGTTTACGCTTTATTATAATAGTATAGATGTTGTTATTAATAAGTTGTAAATATTGTTATACGTCAGCGAATAAAGGCTTTATCTATCTTAAGATGATTATAATATTGCTGAAATCGATACTTTTGACAAATTCAGCATGTTATATAGAATTCAGGTCAACGTGCTATAGAAGTTTCAAGTTAAAAAAAACTCACTCTTCATTTTGCACAAGCCGCGTAATAAGCAGCTAATGTGGTCTGCCATTTTGCGCAGTCACGTTCGAGCCCGCCTCTTGCAAATATTCAAATCATAAGCCACTTTAAATTCAAATTATGCACAAGATGAAAAGTTACGCAATAGAGTGTTGCGGATCCTTGAATAAGTTCGCATTCGGTTCAATTGTTTTGCAATTGGTACGTTATTACACTAAAAAAAATCTAATTGCCATACTTAAATAAATATCCTACGTCCTTCATATTAGAATGTGTCTTAACAAGAGATATATTTTTCTTAAACATGATAACTTTAAAACAGTGATTTTAGTTTTACTTTTATTGGATTTATGACCTACCAACAAACACACAAAAGATATCGAAAAAAACAGTTATTTTTTTTAGAATCATAGTTATATTCCATTTTTGCAATGGAGAAGGAAAGAACAAAATAGCATCGGATCGCCTAACACTTGATGCGAAGCATATGGCCATCTGTAATGCTATAGTGACTGAAAGACTGACTATTGAGAAATTGTACTCTCTTTTCTTAATGGCTCTTAGTTTATTTTAGTCGTCTTACTAAAATTTAAATTTTAGATATAATACGTTACTCGTTTTACAGGTCCATAGTAAAACCACAAATCTACGTCTGAAGTTATCGTTTCTGAAACTGCTATCAATTTTTAAATATTTATACAAAGGTTCCAGTTGCAAGCGGTTGATTTCTCTCTGGGTTTGACCTATTTTCGGGTTTACTCTCAGATATCATTTCAATATTTTATGGCAATTCGTATTTACATTTCCGATTACCACACGTATGATTATCACTTTTAATGTGAAATCAAAATAAAGAACATAAAGTAACTACGTTTTAAATATGAAATAATTGGACTGTGTTATATAAACACATCATTTCTGGACATTTATATTTTCTTTCCTTTCTATATCTTTAATTGGGTTTTAAAAGCTTTTATTTATTTTATTTCCTAATCTATTTCATCAGAAACATGTTCTAGCACTTCGTTC